ATCTTGTCTAGACAGGTCTGGTGAAAGGAGATGGGGATAAGATTCTTATGATTCCATAGTGAATAATTGTTATGACTAACTACGACTGTAACAACTGTAAAGGTAGAAGTTTTGTAACAAAAAGTGGGGAGTAGTTAATCTCATAGACCAGGAATAGAGGACCCTAGGACCATCAAGGGAGAAGAGCACGAGCAGAATGTGGGACCCTATCCAGAGAAGCAGTGATACCAGAGATGGAGCCAAGGATGAGGACTTGGAGATATAGAGCAGCTTTAGACTATAGAATCATGGAATGAGAAAGGATGTGTGCTGGTGTCCAGGAGGCAGGCTTGCAGAATGTGTGCCCTTTGGTTGTTTAAACGATTATATATTCCTGAGTGTTTTTGTGTACACCCCGCATCCCCCCTAAAAATACAGAGGGAATAGAAGCAAATACTGTTGAATGATGCTGCACTGAGGAGACTGTAATGACTGTAATGAAAAGACGAGTGTAAAACCAATGTTCATATTAATTCAAGCAATTCACAATAAAAACATAAAAAAATAATAATAATTAAAAAAAAAAGATATAAGTGAGTTGTGATCTTCTCTCCAATTAGGGAGAAGATACATATGGAAACACTAAAACAACTTTTTGGAGCTCATGTATGAGAAGATATTACTGAACAGCTTTAGTGTCATGTGAGAAATCAATTACATAGGAGAAGGCTTCAAAAAGGTCAAGGAAAAATTTTAATTACATTTTCCCATACATTTTTGGAAACTCTCACCTACGTATGTGTGTGTACACACACACACACATATAAACCATGGACACATTAAGTTTGAAGCAATAAACAGCTAAGTAGAAATTTTCTTTAGCAGTTAGAAAAGCAGGAGAGATTAAGTGAAACGCTAAAGGTACGAATTTAAAGAACAGGAGCTAAATCTGGGTCTATTTGGCTCAAAGGGCCTTTCCTAGAGATCAATACTGTCCCCCATTAGAAAGACAGAGAAAGTAAAGAATAGCTAAATAGACATAGTTCCAGAGAGGAACGTGCCAGCAGAGGCACCGAATAAAAAAGCTAAATGAAGTGGGGCAGCAAGGTTGTGGCAGGAGAAAGGAGGTAGAAAAAAAAGACACTGTGACAGTTAAGATTTTGTATCAATTTGACACTGCCCCAGGATTCCCAGTGGTTTGGCAGTTGAGATGTGGTTATTCCCAAGGTGAGATCTAATACAGTGTAGTTAACTTTGTGATGAATGGCTATGAACAGTCAATCAATTGAAAGAATGTTTCGTCAGGGGTGTGGCCATCTTCCACGATAATGGACACTCAGGCAAAGCTTGCTTGTTTTCTGGTGGATCTGGATCTTGCATCTGGCTCATCTTCTTTGGACTTGAACTAGTAACCTGCTTTATTATTTGCCTGCCTGCCTGCCAGGCCTGCCTACCTGCCTGTCTGCTGGACTTGTCTCACAATTTGGATTCATCTGACCCAAACTTGGGACTCTTCCACCTCTACAATTGTGAGCTATTTCCTTGATATAAACATTTCTTTATATTTATACATATATAAGATGGTTTTGCTTCTCTAGAGAAGGTCTTTCTAAATGACACCTTTGGAGATGGAGACAAAGACAAAACCATTGAATTCAAATTGGAAGGGAGTTTATCATAGTGCCTTATAGTTAAACTGGAATGTGGTGGTTAAACTGGAACGTAAAATTACTGTTTCAAAAAAGTCTACAAAAGTACCTAAGAATGAAGAACAAAAACAACACAACAAAGTAATATAATTTACAATGGATCAAATCACCACATCTCATAACTGACATGAACAATTTAACACTTATCGTCTGTGTTTCTGCTACTGGCAGGACACTGTGCTAGGTGATTTGCCTATCAAGTGGAGCTTCTAGAAAGAAAAGGTAAATCAAAGATGTAGTCCAAAGACACTTTTCTGTATAGCTGTTAGTTAAGTTGTTAAGAAAGAAAGACCAAAGGCTCAATAAAATTTAGGGTGGTAGTAAAGTAGCAAAACTTTGTGTCAAGAGATAAAAAGACAAACAAGAAATTAAGTTGGAGTCAAAAACTAAAATGAAGCAGAAAGAGTTAAAGCTGAGTGTTGAAAACTAATACATTTGGGGAAAAGGGTTGTATGTGTGTGCTGTGTGTGTATGTGTTAATTTAAGAGACATAGTATTCTCATATTTAAACCTTGCAAGGCTTTTCATTGCTGATAATAAAATCCAAAATGCTAACCTGATTCATCATGACCTGTGCAGTAGCTATTCCTCTCCCTAGAATGCTCTGCCTTTAATCTTGTATGGCTGGCCTCTTGCCACTCAACTCTTCATTTATAAGCAGAATACTATCCAGGAAGTATAACAGTTATAGCTGCTACATGGATATTTAGTATAAAAAATGCAGACAAAGTTAGTGTGTCCTTGCATTATCACAAAACTAAATCTGAAGCCAAGCCAGCAATTTACCTATGATAGAGGGTCATACAGGGTCACTATAAGTCAGAATCAACTAGAAGGAAATGCAGTCGGTTTGTTTTCTAAAGAAAACAATGGCCTTGCTCACGGAAACTCTTTTTGATGAGATTTCTTTCTAATGAAAGAGCTTCACTGTGAATTATGATATCCCCATTTTAAAAAAACCATAAGTATCTTGCACCTTGACACAGAATAACTAAAAATATTTATGAAACATTTTATGCAGACCTTTAGTCCATTTTATCTTTAATATACTCTAGATTAGATGCTTGGATTAAGATTTATGGTCAGAAACTTAAGTATTTAGACTGCATTAACTGAGATCCCCAAGGAACTGAATTTACTATATTGGGCTTATTTTGAAGGGTGTTTCTAAGAAATAGCCCTATAGAATTTGTTTCTCAGATGGCAAGGTAGCTATTTTTAGAGAAGTTTTCACTATAGTATATATAATGTCCTCTTAACTCAGAATCAAATGAATTCTTGCTATATATACTATAAGTCTGACATGTGTTCTCTTTGTGCTAACTGCTGGACAACTCTGATAACAAATTTGTAGATTACCTCTAGTAAGCATAATTTACTCTGCAGTTAATTCTCATCAGTGCTTTCATATTTACCATTTTCCTAATTTTTCCACGAACGAATCATTTTAAATGACTTAAATTTTTATTCTCATAATGTGGAGTCCTGGTGTGGCGCTGTGGGTTAATGCGCTGGACTGCAAGGTCTGAATGAATCACAAAATCGGCAGTTCAAGCTCACCAGCCACTCCTTGGAAACCCTATACAGGGTCACTATGAGTCAGAACTAACTTGATGGCACTTAACCACAACAATGTTCATGTATTTTTTATTGTTCCCAAATAGTTTCCATCAGTCTATTGGGGAACAAGCTACAGTGTGAGTAATTTCATTACATCTTTTAGTTTTATGTTGCCAGCAAGAATCTTTCATCACTATGTGAGTCAGAAAGGATGGCCAATCATCTCACATCAGTTCTTATACTTCATCATTTTATGAGTTACGGCCTCTACCATGTAACTTAGGAAATATACTGTCTTCAGGAGAAGGCAGTGTCATTAAGTTATAAATCCTCTAACATTAAATTTAAATTCATATAAAGTAAATTATTTGACTTCATATAAAAATAGATGAATTCATATAAAGTGTTTGCATATGAATTCATCTATTTTCACAATTTATAACACTCATATAAAAGTTTGCACATTATTTACTGAGGTCTACAGCATACCGACTCGACGGCACTTAACAACAACAACAACAACAGCATGACTGAAAACAAAAGTTTGAGTAAAATGTAGAGTTTACAAATATTGGGTTGGTACAGTGTATTGCAGCACCTAAAACAAAATCAACTCTAATGACTGACAGCATCTTCTTAGTCTATGAACTCATTGAACTAATTCACCAAACAAGGTGTAGCACTGCAACATAATAACTGGACTGCTAACCACAAGTTTGGTGGTTCAAAACCAGTAGCCACTCCTTGGAAACCCTATATAGTCAGAACAATTTGATGGCACTTAACAATAACAACAAATTAACAACATAAAAGTCACTGGCCATGAATTTTTCCTCCCAGATTTAACAATATATAAAGTAAAACATGTTAAAACTTAAAATTCCTTACTTCTTATCCTAAATATAATTAATTTCTATACTGTGACAAAGGGTAAAATGATCCTATAAACACAAAATAATTTTAACTAAAGATAAAAATTATAGTACTGAACAAAAAATTTTAAATTTAAAACATTTCAACATTTTCATTGAGTTATAAATACTGTTTGGAAAAGAATAGTATTTATAATTCAGGATTATCAATAACCAATATAGATGCACCAAGAAAGAGAACCAGCAGAGATTTTAATCATGAATATCTGGGTTGTACAATTTCCAAGGATTTCAGCAGTGTTTGGTGATCCTACTCATGTGTGTCCTGAAACATCTAAGTGAATCATCTTCTAAGTCTCTAACTGGGTGGTGTTTTTAATTGTGTGAGACATTTAATACTGCTGAGCTTCTTTTAGGACTTAATTTATGCTTGGTATTGTTATTAAATGCTGGCTAATCAATTCAGACTCAGAATGACCCTGTATAGGGTTTCCAAGGAGCAGCTGGTAAGTTTGAACAACTGACCTTGCAGTTAGCAGTCCAGTGCTTAAACTACAGCACCACATCAGTACTCCTAATTTAAGATACAAATTAGGAATATATAATCAACATTTCTTATTCTTCTACAGTGATTAAAAAAAAAATTTTTTTTTTAAGAGTAAGAAAACTATCTGAATTTTTGAAGAAATAATCTTTCAGATCTAACCTCAATAAGTGTCCAAAACAGATTCCCTCCAAGTACTTCTGGCAAAGATCCTACAAATTATCAGCATTGCATAACATTACCTTTTAATGCAAGGAGCATAACAAATTTATACCATTTGTTAGTGGAAGTAAATACACTGATAAATGTTTTAAAGCATATGTCTAATAAACTCACATCTTTCAGGAGCCTGGTCAATGTGTTCTGGACAAAGAAGGAAGAAATGACTGAAGTCCTGAAAGGTGCCAGCTCCAGCAGCACAAGGGTAATGGTACATCTGGGTACATTTCTCTTCACAGCATTTGATAGTGGCTCCAAGGTGCTTACAAAATGCACATCGCTGAAGGAGAAAAGGGGGAAAAAAATCTCTTTATAAATTTCTTCAAAAGAACATTCAAGTGTACAGCTAGAAAGTTATCAAAAGAAATCTACATACATTACTTAGTAAAATGATTTGAACTAGAAAAATACTAGCTAGGTTAAATATAATAATAATAATAATAATACCTACAAAAGCCTAAAGTACTTAGTTCAGTGTTCAGTGCTTGGGATACTATAGACTCATCTTTCCATTTAAATTTATAAAGTTATATTTATTTTATGTTGACTTCATAAAAAGAGTACAACTAAAGGTTTTTAAAAACACAAATATTAATATGGCTTAAGGGGCAGGTTTCTATTTGAGTTATTTTAAAAGTTTTAAAATTCCACAAAAAACACAGAACACCAATATGTACTATTCATAAAATCTATTACTAAGTGTTACTCAGGCTAAAAATCAATACAAAGTAAGCTATTGAATCACAGAATGGAAAGCTGGAAGTTCAAATCCATCAGGCACTCCTCAGGAACCCTGAAACAGGACTGCAATGAGTCGGAACTGACTTGACAGCACTAACAACAACAACAACAACAACAACAACTACATGGTTAAAACACACACAAAATTGTACAACTCTCTTATAATTATTGGCTTCAAATTTCTTTATAAAACCTAACAATATAAAGAAAATTAAGTCATCTGAATATCCCCATTTATTTATTTTTTGCTTCAAAGTGCTAAAAGCAAAGAAATAAGACCCCAAAAAGCAACAGGGAACTTCCAGAACAACTGAACGCATAAGAACTCAGTATGAATTATCTAAAATGCTTTATTTACTTATTCTATTTTCCCTTAAAATGGTTAGTAAGCACTTCCTCTTCCTTCTAACCTATTTGGAAGTGTAATTTTCTTTGTGAGTATTGTGCATGACAATCCTACACTAGACCACAAAATCTTTATTTCTGTATAAGACATCTAGGTGTATATTATACTTCTATTTTAGCTTTTATGCCACTGTATAGTAATTATCTTTCTATCACTTTAGTATGAGATAGTGAATAGAGGCACCAGAATGGACTATTTATGTAATGCCTACACCACAAATAATGCTTGACAGAGAGGTTCCAATAAACAAGGGTTTGTGTATATGTATTAAACTGACTTTATTTTTGATACTTTAATTTGTAAGTATGGCTTCTAAATAAGCTACACGGAACATCTGTGATAAAATTAAATCTCAATAGTTTGACTCTACTAACTGAATATTTTCAAATGTAAATAACTTGATTCTATATCCTGTCATCAATCAGTTTTTAAATTTTAAACTGCGTATATGTATACATCTACATAAGATAACACATATCATCATCCATTTCATCATCAATTCACTACATTGAACCAATATAAGAACGATTACTCCTATCTTTAAGTACAATAAAGACTACCAACTAAGTAACTCACATACATTAAACTTACATTTTACTTTTATACAGTATTCACAGGTCCACATACTAAAACAAATTTCAGTTCTATTTTTGTACCTGAAGGCAAAACCCTCCCCCGCCCCCAAACCTTGACTCATATCAACCCAGAGTAGAACTGCCTCATATGGTTTCTTAGGCTGTAATCTTTACTGAAGCAAACTTCCACATCTTTCTCCCATGTACCTGTTGGTGGGTTTGAACCACCAACCTTTCAGTTAGCAACCAAGCACTTTATCCACTGTATCACCAAGGCCTTTTAAAGACAAAAGAAAAGAAATAAAGCATCACTTCTTTTCTTTAATAAACTGTAATGGTCTTAAAAGGCTATGTATGATGTTTTCAAAGCAATTCCATAGCCCCACTAGGTATTTAAAACCTATTAAGTATATTAAAAGACCCTTGTGGTAACATCTGGGAAATGCGAATATCCTTGTGGCATACTGGAAAGGCCAAGAAAATGTAGAGGGAAGAAAAGACATTTACATATCCCATCAATATCCTGAAAATTTTATATAACCCTCACATAAAACAATCTCTAGTCTAAGATCGCCATTATTTTGAGTGTGTATGACATGTACAGAAACCTTTTAATTTATACTTCTGTTAGATAAAATACTTGTGTTATGTTCTATAAAGGCAGTTCTAACTCACAGTGACTCTGTATAGTGTTTTCAAGGAGCAGCTGGTGGGTTTGAACCCCTGAGTTTGTAGTTAGTAATTCAATGCTTCAAAGTATTTTAATAAATGAAATAATTTAAATTGATCCACTCCCTAATGTCTATGTCATTTTAGGAACATAAATGTGCTCTCTTAATTATGTACGTAATGAAAAATCATATGATAGTAGTTTAACTACAATGGAAAATACTGGAATATATCCAACACTCTAATTTACAATATCATATAGAAAGAAGAGTGATGAGAACTGATGATGCTTGGAAACCATAAATCTAACAGACTCATGGAACATGCAAATACCAGTCTCCACGAATCTCTGACAAGAAGAACTATATGCTACTTGGCCATCACTACCAATGGCTCTAATCACATTAGAAGGCCCCAGATAGAATCGGATAAAAAGTGGAACAAAACTAAAAATTATTTTAAAAGGAAAAAAATGACAAGACTTACTAATCAGAAAGAGCCTTGAGGAACCTGAGACTATGACCTTTGATCATCCTTCAGGTTTGGGAAGGAATTCATCCTTGTGGCTCAATTTTCAGCCAAGCAGTACACAGATATATAGAGGAAAACAACATGTGTTGGACTGCAAAGTTGGTATGAACCACAAGGTTGGTTCAAGGTTACCAGCTGCTCCTTGGAAACCCAATACAGGGCCACTATGGGTCGGAACCGATTCGACAGCACTTAAGAATAACAACAGTAAAGTATGGTCAGTCATTCAAAATCAAAAGGGCAACATTTACCTAAGTACAAAGTTGAGAAGGGATGGGAAGGTGGGTGGAATGGAATTATGAACTACAGGCAAAAAGTGGGATAACTGTGGAGGGGATTGAAATTACTGAGATGAAACAAAGTCTATGATCTGTTGAATGCAAAACTGATGTTTTCTCTAAACCTACATTCAATTCACAACAAAGAGGTTTTTTTTAATATCAAGGAATAAAATAGTAACATACATAGAACCCATTAAACCTGTTTGATAAAATTTCACAGCTAATGAGTGAGTGACATTTGCTATAGTTGTTGTTAGGTGCCATCAAGTCAGTTCTAACTCATAGCGACCCTATGCACAACAGAACAAAACACTGCCTGGGCCAATTACACAATCGCTGCTACATTTCAGCCCACTGTTGCTGCCACTGTGACAAACCATCTAGTTGGGGGTCTTCCTCTGTTTCTCCAACCCTCTATTGTACCAAAAATTATATCCTTCTCCAGGGACTGTCTCTTCTCACAATATGACCAAAGCATGAGAGAAGTCTGGTAATCTTGGGACATTCTGACAGTATTTCTTTTAACACTGATTGGTTTTGTTGTCTTGGCACACTCCATACCTCCAACATGGTAACCCAAATGCATCAATTCTTCTACTGTCTTCCTTATTCACTGTCCTTTTTTTTTTTTTTTTAAAGTTTTTATTGTGAATTGAGTGATAGTTTACATGGGAGAACATCAGTTTTATATCATCATTTCATTGCAATGATTACAATCACATCCGTGCATCATCATCCAACAGTTATTTGCTTCTATTCCCTCTGTTTCCTTTTTTAAATTTTTATTTGGGGGGTGGGGTAGATGTACACAAAAACATTCAGGGATATATAATAATTTAAACAACCAAAGGGCACATTCTGCAAGCCTGCCTCCTGGCCGCCAGCACTCAGACTTTCTCTCTCTCCATGAGTCTAGGGTCCTTAGATGCTCTCTCTCTTCATGGCCTCATCTCTGCCTCCATCTCTGGCATCGCTGCTTCTCTGGATATGGTCCCGCATTCTGCTTGTGCTTTTTTCCCTTGATGGTCCTAGGGAGTTCTGTTTCTGTATTGTTAAGATTTACTACTCCTGGGGTTTTGTTACAAAACTTCTACCTTTACAGTTGTGACAGTTGCCTTTAGTTAGAACAATTACTATTGAATCATAAGAATCTTATTTCCATCTCTTTTCACCAGTCACTGTCCAACTCTGACATGCCTATGAGGTTAGTGAAAATATGATGGCTTGGGTAAGTCACACCTTAGTCCTCAAACTGACATCACTGCTCTTGAACACTTTAAAGAGAGCTTGTACAGCAGATATGTCTTGTGTTGTTGTTATTGTTAAGTGCCGTCGAGTCGGTTCCTACCCATAGTGACCCTGTACAGGGTTTCCAAGGGTGTAAATCTTTACGAGAGTAGAAAGCCTCATCTTTCTCCCACGGAGCGGCTGGTAGTTTCGAACTGCTGACCTTAAGATTCGCAGCCCGATTCATAACCACTATGCTACCAGAACTCCTTATGTCTTATGTAGTAAGCTGTTTAATTTCCTGACTGCTGCCTCCATGAGTGCTGGTGGTGGATCCGAGCAAAATGAAGCCTTTGAAAACTCCAATCTTTTCTCCATTTATATAGATGTTGGTTATTGGTCCAGTGGAGAGGATTTTTGTCTTCTTTACACTGAAGCACAACCCATATGGAAGGCTGTGGTCTTCGATCTTCGTCAGTAAATATTTTAAGTCCTTATCATCTGCATATTGCAGATTGTTAATGAGTCTTCCTCCAATCCTGATGCCTTGTTTTTCTTCTAGTAATCCAGTTTGTCAGATTACGTGCTCAGCATACAGATGGAATAAATATGGTAGAAGAATACAATCCTGGCACACACCTTTCCTAATTTTAAACCATTCTGTGTTCCCTTCTTCTGTCTGAACAACTGCCTCTTGGTCTACGTACAGGTTCCTCATGAGCACAATTAAGTGTGCCGGAATATTCATTTCCCACAATGTCATTCATAGCTTGTCATGATCCATACAATCAAAAGCCTTTGCATAGTTAATAGAGCACAGGTAAACATCATTCTGGTATTCTCTGCTTTC